TTTCTCGTTGTTTTCACGGCTTTCGTCTTACTGACGTCGCACCTTCGGATCGTATGGAAAAGTGTGACTACTTACACTGTGACTATACGTATTACTGCAACCGCCCACAGCACAACGTTTAACCATCACAAACGTTTGTTCTGAAAACAACTTTAAAAACTCTCTATCTCAAAAAAAAAAAAAAAAATTGACAAAAAAAAGAAATGCCGACCGAAAAATGTATATCGTTTAAAAGTATATTGAATCACGCAGTGTTATACAAGTACAGCTCAGGAGTATGGCTTCCTCTTATATTTTGGCATTTGGTGGCGCACTTTCGGCGAGAGTCGGAAATCCGGAAACAGTCGACCGTTTCAGGATAGGTGGGCGTGGCTACAGCACGAGATATATCTTAAATTTACTTGGATAGGAGTAACCATTTTGACAAAAAAAATCAATAACTGCCCACTTCAGTAGGACACGGATCTAAAATAGTTAACGTGAGAGTGGGCATTGCACAGGCACTTTAAGTTCACACATTTGGCAGAAAAACAATGAATTGTATCGTTACTTTTATTCTATGTTCTTTTATTCTTTATTCCATGTTCCCATGTACATAAAATAATGAAGTAGCAACGAAAAAAGAGAAAGTAAAAACCAACAATAATCAATGTTTTTACAGACTATAAGGTTTGATTGATTATTTGTAAAACTTACTAAATTCACTTCACACATCTAGTGGAATAAACAAATGAGCAAATAAATAAATAAATCAACTTAAAAAAAAATTGAACAATCGATGATATTTTAGTTAAAGTGATATTTCCTTGAGAATGTCGTACACGTTTTATTAATTTTATGTTATTAAAGAGATTAAAGTTAAGCTTAGTTAATTGTTTGAGTGTTTAGGTAAAGTTGTTGAGTTATCCCAAGGATTTATAAAACTAGAGTATGCATGGGAAGTGATATGCAATGAAGAGACAAGCAAATTTAAGAAGTGACGTGAAACATCACACGCAATAACATAACACCTACATTTATAGATATCCTTATGGAAATTTTCATAAAACATAAAATTTGGACCACTTTTAAATAATTACTTTTGAAAAACATTAGATGTCATACATGGTGCATATTTACTCTGATAATATCAACTGTACTGTAGCCATTGTAACTTTTCTATGATTCGTACTTACATCGTCACTTAGTGACATTGGTGGGGAATGATATCCACTATCCTGACTGCCTATATGATCCTTACCAGTCATCTATAAAAAGAACAGCAATTACTTTATCAAACAGATGCAAGCAAAATGCGAGCAAACTGCAGAAGTACAGACATAATTTTATTTGGCTATGCTAGCATACTGTGGCTTTAAATAAATATTTTGGCTGTAATTTTTTTCAAGCTGGGAGTTCCATGGTAACAATGGGTGTTGTTGATACCTGCAGCTTAGACTTGAAATAAACATTTTCCTTAGAAATATGCCTGGACTAAAATGTCTGAGAGCTGCAGGATTTGAAATGTATATATTTTATCTGAATTGATGCATGCAATACTTTAATTTTCCATCACAAATTATCACAAACTCCACATCCTGGTAGGGAGAACCCTATTTACTCACTTGGTGGCGCCGCTGAATTGCAGTGCTCCCTCTAAATCTTGCAGTTTTTTTTTTTAGAAAAACCCCTGTAGTATATTACTTATCTGGTCAAGTCAAGTCAATGTAAAAATACATGGAGAGATCCTGTAACGTAAATATGTTCTTTGAAAGCAGATGATTGAATGCGTAACATTCTAGCATATAGGATTAAAAAAACATTTGTATATAAAGCAAATGATGCAGACCAGGCAAATTACTTTTCCTATTACCCCTGGTGTAGTCCTGTAGTTTAATATGCCTACCTATATACTTTGTCAAAATAAAAAATAATAACAGCTGATAGTCTATTTATTGTTGATGCGTTTTGGGTTATTTTGCAATTTACAGGTAATTTTCAATATAAATTGCACAAGTGAATCAAAGTTAGTTCAAATATTGTGACAAGAAAACGTAATAATAAGTCAATAATACATATATTGCTATAGGGTTATGCCTAATTATTCTTTACACTGGTTATTATACCTCATATTCAAGATTGTCGAGTCACGAAGTATTGAATAAAACTCATTTACTCACTGGGATAATGAAAATCCAGTGAAATCGGTTTCATATTTGAACATGCACAGGAGTAGTTCATGGCATTTCTAGAATAGGCGTTATTTACATTCTTTGGTTGGCTACCCACTCAAGCACCGCCATTAATCAGCTATAGCAAAACAGGGTGGACATAACAGACAGAATACACTGATTAATATGTGTAGACTAGCAGTAAAAAAGCCAAGTTCGATTCAAACCATATGCACGATAATTTAAGCAACTTGCGTCAAATTTGGAGAGTAATTGAGATGTTTTTGTGATTACTCATTTGAGTTTTGTTATCTATTTAATCTAAAAGAGCAAGCATCTATTTGCTGTTCTTCCACCCCATTTTGCTATAGACGACCAAAATGTAACGCCCATCTTGACAAACTTTTTGAATGCAGGGCTAGCATAGGTGTAGTGTTTCCAAAAAACAAAATGCAGTCTGCTACAACGTTGGATTTATGGTAATTGTTGATTTACTTGGTAGAATAAACACCTCAGTGTTATAGTCAATATGAAGTTTCAATAATAATAATTGTTTATTGCATCTTCAGAAATATTAATCAATACAAACAAATTAAATAATTGATCCAGAGGAATTAATTATTTATTGCGTCTCAGTCAATGGATCTCTTTATGTCCCTAAAACTGAAAACAATTTGTTTAATATTTTATGTCTAGTGTGCACATACTTTCAAATAAAAGTTTTACATGCCTCTCTGTGGTTTGATTAAATAAGAAAATTAAAGGGCCATGGTCATTGCACAGGTATCAGGACTATCCGGCCC